ACTTTAGAGAAATCTGGTTGTTCAGTTTCTTAAGTTCAGATAATATCATCCTCGAGGAATATATTTAATATTGAGGAATATTTTAAGGAACTAAGGTATAATCTAGGACTATTACTCTGGGTCTGATTATAACTAGGACTTCATCATTCCTTCATTTAATCAACAATTATTTATTAAATATCTACTATGTACCAGGTTCTGTCCCAGCTCTGATATCAATACAATTTTATTAGGTGATGAAAAATTGAAATACTTTCTTACCAGTTGTTGAATAGCCGTTGCCTTGAGTCTCTCCAAGGCAAGTCCACTGTCTTTGTTCCAGGGAGGCCATACTGGGCACTGCCTGGAGGCCACCTTGAGGCCCACTAACTTGTTCACTCTCATTCTTGGGAGCTGGCCTTCATGCCCATCCTCCTCCTCTGTCAGGGAGGCATGGACACTAGCAAAGAAGATGGCGTATTTGGTGGTGGCACTGTGACACCCTAATGGAAAAACGCACAATGCCCACTGGACTCCCTGAGGCTGCAACCACTGGCCATAGGCTGGTATTCCCCCATGTCACCCATGTAACCTCTGAAGCAGACAGTCCTATTGTTTAATACTTCAAATATCTTCCTTGAATAAGTGAAATTAGAAGGAAAAGCAGAATACCAAGGTTGCCAAGAAGAGGAGACATTCATGTGCACTTAGATCAGTCAGAGAAGGCTTCCTAGATGGCGTGACCTCATGGAAGTTTCCTGGGTTACTGGGAAAAGGAAGTTCCAGGAAAATAAAAGAGTAAAATTGTGGTGTCAGCACCCATAGACTTGGTGTCAGAAAACCAGGTCCTAAGACTTCTTGCCAGAGCCCTGTGGACGGCACTGGAGTGCTCCAACTTTAATCCAGCCACAGATACCTGCCTGAGGTCCCTTACAGAGGGGTTGCAGTGACTTAGTTCTAAGATAAGTGTAAACGCCTTCTGAATGCCCTCTCGTTGGTATCTTTTAAGCCCCAGGCCGGTCTCAAGAAATTGCCATTCTTGCCCATGCAGGTGGAGGGTCTCTCTTTCCTTAGTCTTCAAATACCATCTCTTCCTTAGCCATTTTCTTCATCCCCAGACACTGCCTCCCCCTCCCTCTTAAGCCATCCCATCTCAGTGCTCCCAGGTGTGATGACAGACTTTGAATCACAGAACTTTACAGCTGGAAAGGACCTTGTAAGTAAATCACCCAGCACTCATTTAGAGGACAAGAGAGCTTAGCCCCACGTGGTTGTGACACTCAAGCCTTCCCCGTGGTCATGAAGAGACTGCAGCCAGGGGCTGTGATCACGAGTCCAGGCTCTTTCTCTGTGGCCTGCTTCCTCTCTCCCCTTGGGTTGCTCCTCCAATGAGACCAAATTCTTCCTTTTTACATGCTCAGCTTTTTAGTCTTTTCCCCTCCAGACGTGTTTATCCATCCATTGGCTTTAAGAACTATGACACTCGAACTTAGTACTTCTAAAGCCTATTTTTATATGTGACAGATTTTGGGTTACAGTTTTGTTTCCCATAACATGAGGCTCCTAATTTTAGGTGGGACAGATCTCTGGCTTTAAATCACGTTGAATCACATAGTGAGAAACTTGTTTCTTTTCTCTGAATTCCTCAAAGAGGAAGTCTTGAGTTGGTGCTGATATGTCTCTAATGCTTGCTTAGCTCCCTTGTCAGCGAGGAGGGAGGGGACCTGGGGTTTCAAGCCTTCAGCAGATCCAGTATCCAGTGAGAGTGAAATAGCATCTGATTATTGCGTTATTTTATGAGTGCCTTCTAATATTGACAGTTGGTACTGGTTTTCCAATTAAGCCAGAAATTAAAGGTTTTCATTTTAATTAATGTTAAAACTAAAATTATTAAGTAAATAAAACTTAGGTGGTATAGAGATATGCCCCTCTCCCCCTCCACACACACACACTAGGTCCTCAAAGCAGTGGTCTACGGGGGAGCCAGATTTATGTAAAAGTTCACATCGACTGAGGAGGAGGATTTGTATGATTCAAACCTTTCTTTGGCTCAGAGAGCATTTCTCTTTACCCACCCCAGGTATAAAAATATCTCACAGCATGTATTTTAGTCAGCAACTATTCTACCACGGTGGAAATGATTTACTGAAACTTAGACCTTCTCCTGAAATCCAGCCAAAAATCTGACTTGGAAAACCAAGAAGTCCTATTTAGTTTCTGCCGTCATTGTTACTGAACCACACTGACTAGGTAATTAGTGACATATAAAGTTCTTCAATTCTCTCTTCTTCTTTTACTTGGGCATCATGAGATTGTTTTTCTCTCCTCCATGGTCACTTGCTAAGAATGTGCTGAACGGAACGTTAGGTTTTTTTTAAGTGGAAGAGGTCACCTTTGTCCATACCTCTCTTTCTTCACACATACGTAAAAGACTCTGTCTTCCGTCATGTCAGTGTTTCTTGGCAGAAGTTTCTGGAAATTGAGTTTGTACATCTGGCAGCCAAACGTGGCCTGTAGGTATGTTTTTCAGGGAAAGATATGTTTTTGAGGTAACCACTCTGCACAGATTCTGTTAGAGTTTCAGAGGATTTGTAACCTGTTATTTTAGGTTCTGAGCGTATTTGTAGCTCCAGAGGTACAAAAATAAACTGTGTTTCCTTGGAAAATGTGTGTGTCTGGGATGTATGACAGGAGCTGCAACCTTAAGCAAGATTTCCAGGCGCTTACAGTTGAACCATGCTAGTAAAAATATGTTTATTTAGACATTAAAATACTAGGGTGCCCATGTAAATATCCTAATCAATGTGTGTTATGTGAGCTTCTTTACTAATGTGCTTTAGCTTCTAATGTTTTCAGTTCTGGCTCCTGCAGTGTTAATGTACTACAGGGAAAGTTAAACTCAGATGGTGAGTCTTATTTTCTGTTCAACACATTTAGTGTTGTGTTTCTTACTTCCAAGAGAATTGTTTCTTTTTTTTAATTGAAACATTATTGATTGTACATCTCTTTATAGTGCAGCATTGAATATCAATACCTGTGTGCAATATGTGATGCTCAAATCAGGATTAGTATATTTATCATTATACAATGTATTCATTTCTCGTGGCCCTTTACCAATTTCTCACCAATCCCCACCCGACCCCCAAGAGAATTAAGAGAATTGTTTTTTTTTTTTTTTGTCTTTTTTCATGTCCGGCAACGGATCGCAACCCTCAGTGTCGCGCCCGTACCGGACCGGGACTGGCAACGGGATCACAACCCTCGGTGCTGCGCCCGCACCTCGCTCAGCCGGTGAGCGGGAACCGGTCTGTATGTGGGATCCGAACCCTCTGCGGGAGCGCTGCCGCACTCCCAAGCGGCACACTGTAGCAGTGCGCCACCAGGCCGGCCCAAGAGAATTGTTTCTAATGTAGGTGTCGGTCACAAAGTCACATCACAACTGATAAAGTAAAACTCCTTGATTGTAACACTCATAGCAACATGGAGGGTTTTGTTGGACAATTAGAAGAGGGAAAAGACAGCAGACATACCCTTTACCACTCTCTGTTCATTCACAACAAGCATCACTATGTATTCAACAAGCATCACTCAATTATCCATCACTGCAAAGTCGCATGGTAGAAATGGGGGGGACAAAGAGAAGGCCGGGGATGCTTGCTCCTGGAGCCTGAAGTCTGCTTTAGTTCATCAGTGTTTCACAAAAATCAGAATAAATTGTTTCTTCTGTCAAAATATAATTTTGAAAAAGTTAGAAAACAAAAACTCAGGGGGCTCTCTAGTTAGCTCAGTTGGTTAGAGTGCAGTGTTACAACACCAAGGTCACGGGTTCAGATCCCCATACTGGCCAGCTGCCACACACACACACACACAATCAGAAAACAAAAATGCATTCAAATATTCAGTATGCACATGTCAGAAATTCATTTAACTCATTAATGAGGGAAATGGTAGGATGACAAAGCTAGTTCAACAGAGGATGTGAGAAAAATATCTAAGTAGATAGAAAGATAGACCGGTAGAATGAAAGGAAAAAAGTGCTGAAGTAAGATTGCAGAGTTAATGGTCCTATGAGGCAATAAAACAATAATCTTTAGGGTTATTTTTTATTTGGGCAGAATTCCTTCCCACCTATAATAGACAAAAATAATTTGCAATTTACCAGTCTTCTACAATCTTTATAGATTCTGGGTCCAAATAGTAAGTCAAACAAAGTTACATTCCCTGAGAGCATTAGATGATTCTTAGATGGGCTTGTCCCATTAGAGTGATACAGTGATGAAAACATTCCATGAATGTGATGTCCAGTATGGTAGCCACTGGCCATATGTGGCTATTGAGCATTTGAAATTTGGCTAATGAAACTGAGGAACTAAATTTTTAATTTTCTTTAATTTTTATTTAAATAACCACATATGACTAATGGCTATTCATATTAGATCAGCTCTAAATATGTCATTGAATATGCAGTCTTTTTTTTTTTTTGCCTTGTTTCCAATTTTTGATAATTTTTTTCTAAACACTTAGTAAATTAAATCATAATTAAAATGTTGTGATAGAAGCTAAATATGCAAAAGAACTAGGAGGAAACTTTTTTGAAAAAACCTAATTCTTGCATGAAACAATTTGTTTTGCAAATGTAATGCCTTATATATTGGGTTCTTGATAGTGGGCTCTCCTGAAATCATTCTGGCCAGCAAGAGAGCAGGTTACGAAGTTAAGCCTCTTTGGATGGAACCCAACTCTGTCTGATGTTTTCCAAGTGAATCAGCTTGGCATTAATTTTCTTTTAGCAAGATAATAATGGTCATGTCTAGTTTTGATTAAAAGGGACTTTTCGGTTTGAAACAAAGGGAGAACTATTAATATTTCACAAGGATTTTAAGGTTTAAATAAGTTAACTTTTGTGCTGCTGTCACTTCATTACTCAAAAAGAGCAATCGATGCATTGATAAGGTTGCCTTTGATTTCTCATGAAACTCAGTTGTTTTACTTAGTTTTCTCATCTTCTTGCTTGCTTACAGGGGTTTTTCCGCAGAAGTATTCAGAAGAACATGATTTATACATGTCACAGAGATAAGAACTGTGTTATTAATAAAGTCACCCGGAATCGATGCCAGTACTGTCGACTTCAGAAGTGCTTTGAAGTGGGAATGTCCAAAGAATGTAAGTGGAGTCTCAAAAAAATGTTTCCCTGTTTGCCTTATCTATAAACATGATTCGCTCAGCTTCCAAAATCAAATCATGAAGCGTGTCAGCATGTAGAATTCAGACATGACACTAATGATATAGTGCCAAGGGTAGGTGTAGACAGGGGTGACATGAAAATGAAATAACCGTAGAGATTTTCAGATAAAACTTAAGTGGTGGTTGGTGAAAAGGCAGGAGTTGGGTGTCATAGGTGGCAGATTTGTGTTCCAGAGCAGTCACTCACTCTCTGTGTATTTCAGAGAAGTTAATAACTCAAGCACATCACACAGCCACTTGGTGACTCCAGTTCCCCATCTTGACAAGGGGAGTAAGGATCTCTGCCCATATGGGTGAAGATAAAATGAGGAGAGAAGCATGAATGTTAACAGTAATAATAATTTGCCCTTTTCTAGAGAAGAGAGATTGTATAACTTTTGTGGTGGAGGAAACATTTCAAAATTTGGGGCATTAGCATTTTTCCAACTTGATTTAGCTTTTCTTCCCCAAGCTACCTTTTGTAAACAATAATGCATCTTATTTATTTAATGCAAAAGAGAACATTTAATAAATTAAAAATTGGTTAGTGGTCCATAAACATTTGATAATAGGGATTTGAAATATTAATGCTTTAATACAGAGTATATACAACCACAAAATTTCATTATTTATGTTCTCTCTTTGATGCTTTCAAATGTAGGGGATGAGAAAGCGATGGGAGAATAGCAGGCCTAAGGAATGTGTGCCTGGGAAGTACTTATGGGGTTGCCACTTTTTCATTCATTCCAGCACTTGGGGATTTGGTAAAGACCCACTGTGTGTGTGAGGCACTGGACTAGGTGCTGTGCCTGAGACATGGCCACTGCCCTCCAAGAGCATGGGACAAAAAGCCATGCACCCCAGCCACGGGGTTGGAAAAATAGTTATGAATTATGGGCTCTTCAATTTTAGAACTGGGAATGTGGCCCTGGGGAGAAGACTGCTTGAAGAGAGAGAGCCTCTGAAGCCAAGCAGCATTGCTCTGAGGGTGCTCAGCTGGGAGACTGGCTCTCTGCTAGGAGCTGCTACTCAGGGATTGTAGTGGATGTTTCTTGGTAACCTACCCAGCTGTTTTTTCTAATTGTACTCCCATCCCTTCACTTTTCCTAGCTGTACTCAGATTTTAGTTTGCTTTTACACCCTTTGGGTTTCTGTGCTTCAGGGGAAGCTTCAGGGTAGGGATCAACTCAGTCGACTCAGGCCAGTCAGCATATTCTATGTTCCAGCTACAGTCATCTGTTTATTGTGTGAACATGTAGCCTAGGCTGATCCAGTGAGAGGGAATATTCAAGACTCATGCTTAGAATCTTGGGAAGAAGTGCCCTCCCTTCCAGTGCATGCGAACAGGAGCCAAGTGGCCACAAATACCCCTGGTAGCTGTCCTCCAACCCCAAGGGAACTCAGCTGTAGGGCAAAGCAGGAACTGTGGATGGAAAAATGGAAAGAAACAGAAACCAGGCCTTTAATGGCATCACTGAGTTGTTAAACCAACCACCCTGGGAAACCGCTGCCACCAGGTCATTTTGTTATATTTGCCAGGAAGTAGCCATTCAAGCCTTTGGAGTTGGGGTTCCTGCTCATGTGTAGAGTTCTTATGAACAAGAATGGACTATGTCATGAGACAGTGAGGCTTCCTGCATAAGCCATTTCTTCTGGGAGGATCTTTCTCCTCCGGGCAGTTCTATCTGCAGATCATGGGTCACTTGACCACATTTCACCCAGTTCCCTTTAATCCTTCCAAACTTCAGAGCTTGTGAATGACTTGAAATCAATAAATATGAAGATATGAAGCTAATATTCAATTAGCTCAGGCCCCACATCCTACCATGAAAAGAAAAGCATGGTGACCTGAAATAGCCAGATTATTTATGTGTGTAAGACACACAGGACGATCACCTAATACTCCATTTTTGGTCTGACGTTCTGTAGGCATGGATGTCATGCTGCATTTCTGTGGGAGAATTTCTGTTCAGGCTGAAATTGTAAATGAGTAAGCCAGATGTGGACTCAGAGAAAATCAGTACTTTTGCATTTATTTTGTGTGGGCTGGAGACCCATTTCCTGCTTACATTACTTAAAACCCATATCCTGCTGCTCTGTAAAAACTGGCAGCTTGGTTGGCAATTAAAAAAAATAATGTTTACACCCACAGGAAAATGCTAGCTTCAACCCTCAAGGAACATATCACCTTAATTAGATTTAAAAATATAGAAATGGGAAGAAAATGGCATCATTATGTCCAAGTACACAAAAATAAATATATTTTTCTTAAAAGGAAATTGAAGGGGAAGAAATAAACACTTGGAGTATAGGGATTAAGAGTTTAATAGAATATTTTTTAAAGTTGAAACAGAAGGAAGCAGGAAAATATGAGAGTCAGTAACCAATCATGCCATGATACACACAACTGAAATGAACCCAAGACTAATAGATACTCATAGAATCTGAGAACTGAAAAAGGATCTTAGAGACTGGTTTTCACTCACCTCTCTCATTTGACATACAAGTACACTAGGACCCAGAAAGATGAAATGGTTTTCCCAGCAATCCCCGACTGGCTAAAGACAGATCCAAGACAACAGTTCAAGTCGGCCACCTCTCCTCACCGTGTTTTCTCTGCAACAGCAAGAGTAGCAAGATTCACACTCAATTCCAGCTGTAAGACATGTCGGCTTATTAGTAGACAGAGCGCTTTAGATGCAAGTGACAGAAAGCCCCGTTCAAGCTGGCTTAAGCTAAAAACCAGCACACGTAACTGAAAATTCGAGAGTAACACGGCTGGATCCAGGGGCATGTGTTTGCTTTCGGGGCATTGTTTCTATTCATCTCTTGCAACTGTTTTTTGCTGTGTTGGCTTTGTTCTCAGGAAGATTTTCCCTGCGACTAACAAAGATGTCTACCAACAGCTCCACACTGATGGCTACCCAGCAGAAAGAGGTGTTCTTAGAACCTAACCATTCCATTAAGCCTAGGAATAGATTCTCATTGGCCTAACTTGGGTTGTGTGCCCCTCTGTGAACACATTGCTTTGGATAGAATATTGTCATTGGCTAGGATCAAGTGTCAATCCCTAAAGCCCAAGATTGATGTTGACTCTACCCAAGCTATGTGGGCCAGGAGTATGGGAGGAGGTGTTCTCAGTGAGGAATCAAGAAAGACGAGGCAAAAATAACCTTACGTCTACTATGATATGTCAAGTCCTACAAGTGCTCTTGTTAGTACAGTCTTCTTAATTCTTTATACTTGGGGCTGGGGGCTGGGGGCGATAAAACACAGAGAAATCTGAGAATCACATTATAGTACTAGCTAACTAGACAGGGTATTTTCTGGGTACCAGGTACTACACTAACCACTTTCAATGTTTTATTCCATCAATCCTCACAACAACCCTACGAGATAGGTTAGTTATAACCCCTCCCCCTCCCTGCACTTTTTTTTGGCAGATGTGGGAGCTGAGGCACAGAAAGGTTAATTAACTTACCCAGGGTAACACAGTTAGTAAGGGGCAGTGCTGGAATTTGGAACCAGGTAGTTTAGTTATAAGTTTATATTCAAACTGAAATATATACTGCATGCCATAAAGAGCAGCTTTTGAAACTCTGAGTTCCCTTTTCTACTCTATTTTATTGCCAGTAGTTAATAAAACAATAACCACACTCCATGCTCTATATTAGAGATGTATCTTCTAGAAAATCATGTGCAAATTTAATTTTTATAGATCAAATTTGATTTTAAATGTGTAAGGGGATTTACTAGTAAAAGAAATCCTTTAACATGGCCTACCACAAAAGTATGATTATTTCTTCATTTTTCTGTTTTGTGAATACTGGTGGGTGTACCTTATATTTTCCAAGGATATTGTAGAACTAGGCGAGCTTTTCGCTGAGGAATAGCTATCTGTCAGAGCATGGACTTTGGTAATGGCAAGTGAAAAAAATCGATTTTCAGCAGCCTTCTAAAAGTGGTACAAAAATTTATGAAGAATTGGAGAAGGAGGCAGAGGAAGCACATGACTCAGAGTTGAGTGATGAGTATCTGCTGGTTGGGTGGGAGGCTTGTAATCCCGTCAGCAAAGGAAAGCATGGGGCAAAGCCCTGAAAGAAAAACAAGAAATAAAAAAGAGAAGCAATAAATGAAGGCGTGACACTTGGGGTTGTGAAAGAGATGTCCAGATAAGTTTATGGCATAGATAAACAGCTAATTGTTCATGATGGAGAAGAAGATTTAAGATGAGGCTGCTTAGAGACTGTAGGAATAGTGCCCTGGAAAGCCTGACCATATGCATTTGAGTCTGTTACAGAAATTTAAAAGAATAGTTCAGCTCTTTAAGCCAGGGATCAGCAGACTATTTTTTTTTTTTGTCTTTTTTCATGTCCGGCAATGGATCGCAACCCTCAGTGTCGCGCCTGTACCAGACCGGGACCGGCAACAGGATCGCAACCCTCGGCGTTGCGCCTGCACCTCGCTCAGCCAGTGAGCGGGAACCGGTCTGTATGTGGGATCCGAACCCTCGGCGGGAGCGCCGCCGCGCTCCCAAGCGGCGCACTGTAGCAGTGCGCCACTGGGCCGGCCCAGCAGACTATTTTTTAAAAAGAGCTGGCCATTTAAAAAAAAATTTTTTTTTTTAATTTTAAGAAAATACTGTTGGCTTGGTGGGCTATACTGTCTCCATTACTCAGCTCTGCCATCATAACACAAAAGCAGCCATAGAAAATATATAAACAAACAGTGTGGTTATGTTCCAATAACACTTTATTTACAGAAACAGGTGAAGGGCTGGGTTTGGCCTGCAGGCCATAGTTTGACAACTTCTGCTTTTAGAGGCTCACCCAGTGGCCCAGTATGCCACTTACAGCTGCTCTGCGATCTCATTGCAGCCTCTCCTCTCACCAGGAGACACCCCAGCATCCAGCCACCCTGGACCATGCCGACCCAATGAG